TTTTTTTTGAGATGGAGTCCTACTGTGTCGCCACCCAGGCTGGATGGAGTGCAATGGTGCAATCTTAATTCACTGCAACAACTCCTGGGTTTAAGCAATTCTCATACCTCAGCCTCCCGAGTAGCTGTGATTATAGGCGACTGCTACAATGCCTGGCTAATTTTTTTGTATTTTTAGTAGAGACTGGGTTTCCCCATGTTGGTCAGACTGGTCTTGAACTCCTGACCTCAGGTGATCCGCTCACCTCAACCTCCCAAAGTGCTGGGATTACTGCGTGAGCCACCATGCCTCTTCTGTTCTGTTCTCTTATCTTCTCTTCTTTCTCTTCTCTTCTTTCGTTTCTTTTGGAGACAGGGTCTTGCTTTGTTGCCCAAGTAGTAGTGTAGGGGCACAATCATAGTTCACTGTAACCTCAGACTCCTGGGTTCAAGTGATCCCCCACCTCAGCCTCCCACAGTGCTGGGATTATAAACTCCATGATGAGAGTTTTTGTTTCCACGTAGATTATGATTTATGTAAGATAGAAAAGAAAATGGGGCCAGGTGTGGTGGCTCATGCCAGTAATCCCAGCACTTTGGATTTTTAGTAGAGACGGGGTTTCCCCATGTTGGCCAGGCTGGTCTCAAACCCCTGACTTCAGATACGAGTGCTGAGATGGGCGGATCACTCAAGGCCAGGCCACTTCGAGACCAACCTGGCCAACATGACCAAACACTGTCTCTGCAAAAATACAAAATTAGACAGGCTTGGTGGCATACACCCGTAATCCCAGCTACTTGGGAGGCTGAGGCATGAGAATCACCTGAACCTAGGAGGCAGAGGTAGCAGTGAGCTGGGATCACACCACTGTACTACGGCCTGGGCAACAGAGGGAGACTCTGTTTCTAAAAGAAAAGAAAGAAAGAAAAAGAAAGAAAAAGAAAGAAAGGAAAGAAGTGGTGGGGACAATCACGTAGTACTTATTTAGGAAATGGGAAAAGAAGGGTGTGTTGTATTTGCTATTATTTCTTCTAAGGCGGTGGTTTGATTTCAGGGTTCCCCGACACTGCAATGGTAGCCTGCCCCTTCTCCCCTTTAGTTCATGCTCTGCCCATTGCACAGGCCAAGATAAACTGGTAGTAACATTGCTTCCTAATCATCTCTTAAGAAGTCATGAAGATCAGTTAGATGAGATGTATTTTGTACTTTAAGCT